TCTAAGGACCTCCTCATTTCTAACTCTGTCGACCCAGCTTATTTTCAGTAGTCGTCTGTATACCCACATCTCAAAGGCTGTCAAGCGTTTAAGCCATCGAGCAATAAGACAAAAGAGGGAATGTAAAGGTAGAAGGGGTAAAGTTATTGATAGACAGGAAGTGCCATCTTGAGAGGCCACTTTAGACAAGGATAGAGAGTCTCTCTCCTTGTTTGACATCAAATTTAGTTGGGTTATGTTATTGTTTGTCTCAAATGTCACATGAAATCTTATTTATATTGAAGGTTTTTAACAATTGTGTCGCATTTTAGACTCTTATCATTAATAATTAATTAAAACTTTCTCGTCTAAGACACATTTTGAAAAATATTATATAGCTACTGTTGATAAGTGTCGAAAAATTTAAATTTGGCGCCTTTGCATTTCCGGATGTGTCCGCCATCAGAGGCCACTTTTTTGGTCTCCTTTTTATAACGATTAGATTCCCTCTTTTGTCTTATTGCTCGATGGTTTAAGCATAGCCTCAGTTAGGGTCCACGCTTCTACTCCATACAGCAGGACAGGAAAGATGTAGCAAGATATCATACGAACTCTAAGGTCAATGCTAAGATCATGACTGCAAAGTACGTTTCTCATTTTTACAAAGGATAAAGATACTTTACCTTTTTTTAATTTGGACAGTTCTATTTGTTTGAGTTCTATAATACTTACAGCAACTGAGGTCTATGATACTATTGCAAGTTGTAAAAACAGATTATGTGCAGGGCCGGATGGAATCCCAGCCTATTTTCTGAAAAAATGTATATGTGTACTTACAAAACCAATTTTGTTTATTTTAACAGATCACTTGGTACTGGTAGCTTTCCCAGTTTCTGGAAGAAAAGTTTTTTAAAGCCGATTTTTAAATCGGGTGCAAGGAACGATATATCAAACTATCGAGCTGTCTGTAATCAGTCGGAGCTGCCCAAGTTGCTTGATTGTTTGGTTAGTAAGAAACTGACATGGAGTTATAGAGGCATTTTTAATCCTGAACAATTTGGCTTTATGAGAGGGAGGTCAACAGATACCAACCTGGTTTTGTATGTCAATCATATATATAACAGCTTTGAAGAGGGGTGCCAGGTTGACTCAATCTATACTGACTTTTCCAAAGCATTTGATCGGGTAAACCATGGGGTCCTCTTACAAAAACTAAGAGCTTTGGGTATTTTAGATCCCCTTCTTCAGTGGATTACAGAATATGTTAGTGGCCGTACGCAGACAGTTATCTTGGGAAGTGACACTTCAATTGAAATAACAGTTCCATCAGGCGTGCCACAAGGCTCCCATTGTGGCCCTGTTTTGTTTTGCTTGTTTCTGGTTGATTTAGTACAACAAATGAAAAATTGTAGTGTTCTTATGTTTGCTGACGATGTAAAACTGTTTAGAAAAATTCAATCCTGGAATGATGCTGTTATATTACAGGAAGATCTTAAATCGTTTTATGATTGGTGCACTTTAAACAAAATGTCACTCAATATAAACAAATGTCATAAAATGACATTCTCGAGGCAAAGAAATCCAATTACATTTGTTTACTACATAAATAACTTGCCATTAGCCTCGAAAAATGAAGTATTAGATTTGGGAATTTGGTTAGACACCAAACTGTCATTCTCAAGCCACATTAACCAAGTAACAAACACAGCGATGAAAGTGCTGGGATTTATCCAACGCACATCTGTGGATCTGTCTTTATTTACATTTAAAAGACTTTATTGTGGTCTCGTTAGGCCCATTCTTGAGTTTGGATCAGTTGTATGGTCCCCATCATACCACTGTTACATTCAACAGATTGAAAGAGTCCAGAATAAATTTTTGAGGGTAGCAGCCTATAAGAGTGGATACAGGAGAGAGGAATACGACTATCAGTGGGTAAGAGATAGTTTTAACTTACCAACACTGGAGTCAAGGAGGACATTGTTGGATTTATGTTTCTTACACAAAGTTATCAATGCTTTTATAGATTGTCCTCAACTCTTATCGCTTGTTAGTCTTAAAGTTCCTAGTAGAAGCAACAGACAATCAGAAATCTTTTCGGTGCCATTTCACCACACTAATTATGGTATCAATGAACCAACTACACGATTGGTCCGGAGTGCTAATAGCTTGCCAAGACAAATAGATATTTTTGACTTCAAAATTAGTTTGTTTAAAAAACAACTAAAAAATATCTTACAATAAGTTGGTTGTACATCTGTATTATTCTTATATGTTTGTATTATTCTGAGGTGTTTGTTATTTTAATAATTTATTGTTGTTAAGGTGTAACTTTTTAAAACTTGTGATTGTTATTTTAATAATATATTGTTTTTAAGATGTAACTTTGTAAAAATTGTAAGTAAATGGATGCCGTATATAAATAAATAAAAATGTTGAACATATTCACTGTGCTCGCAAGATTCAAAAATGTGTTAAAAGCATGGATGAAGGCTCAAGAATCTGTCGTGGCTGTCATAAGAAAATGTAAAAAGATGGTAACTCATTTTCATCATTCGATTGCTGCACCAGATAAGCTGACCAATATACAAAAAAGCATCATGCATCACTTATTTTTCGTTTTCTAATTTTATAGTTTTCTAAGCTAGTCTTCTTATTAAAAAAACTAAGAAGTGAATGGATTTTTATTTTATTAACCTAATCTTCAAATTATTTTTTTTTCTTATATTCATATTCGAAAAACATTCGCACAAATTTCACGAATGTGAATGCGAATATGTAAATATTTGTGAATGTGAATGTGAATATTCGTTACATCACTATTCTTCAATGCTAGTGAAGTCATATCAATCAGCTCAACCCTCAACTTAGATCATAAGGGACACAAGTTATAATTATTTTTTAGACCTAAGCTTTTCTGGTCACTGATAAAGATCCAGATCTTTGACCCAGATCATTTGTGAATGAACCATCCCTACTCTCTAATGGGTCTGGACCATGTGGGGTAGAGAACAGTGAAGTCTATGATAAGCTAATAAAAATGAGGCCAATCAAAGGTTTTTTGTGATATAAGCTGCTGCTGGGTATTTTGTAATAGTAAAGATGTAGTAAAAAAACCCACAGCAATTAGATAATCAAAAATGCTTTTCAGAAGCAACTTGAAAAAATCTAGTCAACTCATTATTTTAAAGGAGCAAAGGTTTGCTTTAAACACAAACTTAAAGAGAAATATTCACAGGACATGCCTACAGAAAAAAGCACCTGGGACTAAAAAACACAATTTTTTTTCAAACTAACATGATTTCTCCTAAATCTTAGGATACTACTTTTGGAGGTATAGAATCTACTCTGGAGGCTTCTTTACAATTCAAGAATCAAGCCACACAATATACTAAGCATCCAGGAATAAAATAAGAATCAATGAGTTTTGATGATAGTAAGACTATGTTATAAAAAAAATTAAATACATAAATACATACAATTTTATATCCAGATATTCCAGGACATTGTACTAAGTAACATTGTACATGAATAAAAAATATGTAGACAAAAAGACACCAACAATAACTTCATATATCCTGTAAATCCTCAATAATATTATCATATTTTATATCCTGACATTCCCCAATAATATTGTAATAAATATAAGAGGGAAGCAGGAAAATCTTTATATTATTTGATGTGATCATAGCAAAATCTTGGTATAGGTACTGCTTGTTGCAATCAAATAGAATGAATGTGATTTAACAAGACAAGTAGCAGAATGAAAATACTTATATGGAAAAGGTTTGAATAAAAACAGACATAAAGAACAGAATAAAAAAAAAATTTAAGAGATAAAACAATAATAAGTAACACCTCAAAATCAGGAAGAAAATACCTTGGTATTACTCTAAATCATGGATGCCGAAAGGTTGTATCCAAATATAGTAAAGAAAACATTTAAAAAAAATACTTTTTTGGAAAACAGATGGCAACTTGAATGTTTTTTGATACAATTTAAAATATAGAAAAGTTATTTGCTATTCATTTGTTAAAATGATATCAATATGTTTAATTAATAATAAGAACAGAAGATAAAACTGAAATTTATAGTATTTTAGTAGGTCCTTTAAGTATTACAAACCGTTCTTATTGGCCTACCTCAGAAGATCCAGATATCCAAACTGGAAAAAAAATAATCTGTGGTGAAATACACTGACTGAAATAGTGAAGCCTTATAATGAATGGTAGAAAAGAGATTATCAAAAACAATTTAATAATTGGGAACTCTCTGGAATACAAATACATAATGGCTGGGCTTTAAGAGGAGTTATTTAGAGGAAAAAGATGTGCTAAATAAAAATCAGATGTTAAATAGAATAAGAATATTCTTAAATAGAAGTTCTAAATACAGAAAGAAAAAACAAAGGTGAGTTCAGTACAACTGAACAGTGCATTAATTATCACTTCACAGTACCTGAAATAAATCAATGCACGTTATACAGAAGATAGAAGGGGAAGAAACTTTGGAAAATAAATGCAAAATGAAAAATAATGAAAGAGGGACTTATGGTACTTTTCTATCAAAATAACAAAAACGATGTGGACATGATCAATATAACTAAAGAACCCAAGCACACAAAATAAAAAAAATTCATCACCTACAGATACACATATATCGTGTTAACTCTATTCTAAATCCCACTTTGATATAGTTATTTGATGTCTCTTACTTAGCATTTTAAATGGTTTCTAAGAAATCTATTACTTACCACACGTTTCTGGAACTATTTTCTGATACAGAAGCTTGAAATAACTTTGTATAACACACAGGAATCAAAGAAATTTCCTTAATATATCGAACAAACTCCACACCCACGAAGTGAAGCCAAGCCAAGGAAATTTTCAAACAACTGACATCTGAACACACTGCATTTCCCTATTTTTACTCCGAAATCAATTAACACGACCCAAATATTATGTATATAGAAAATAGAAATATACTTAAAATATTTAGAAAGAATTTGTTTAAAACTTACCATAATCTACATCAGGATGGACCGACGGAATTTGAAGATATTCCCGAAAATTGTTGACAGCTTGCTGATCTAACGCTTGCTTTTGATCAGCTGTTATTGTAGACATCTTTTGAGTTTTTGCTGAAATTCTATGGAATAAATGAATAAAAACCACAAGTTGCGTATACGAAAATGAACTTGACAATTTGTTATATCCCCACTTCGTATTTATATGTTTTTATTGGGGCTTATCAAGGAAATAAGTGATTACTTAATCTAAAACTAGACCATTATTCTATCGTGTTTCACCACTATGTTGTCATTTTAATAAACAGGTAACTAAAACAAAAAGAAAACATGTTTCTCTTAGATATTTCTTGCGGCTTTCGATGTATTACTCGGAACTGATTAGTAATGTTTTTGGACCGAGCGTTATCGGGTATTAACAGTTTGTATCTGTAGCTGCGGTTTGCAATATTCGCCATGGAAACTACACATTTTACTGCATTATTTTGAATTTGGCGCGCTCATTTAAACACCAATCAGCTGATCCAACCCCTTTGTAACGTCAGTTGCATCACCATTTGCATGTATTTTTTTTTATTTTCTTTTCATTGCGCAATTGAAAACTCCGACCGGCTTACATGAATATTTTTGTTTTTGAATAATTAAATGTTCCTGCACTTTCTGGAACAACAGGAGAGAAAATAAAAAAAAGAAAAATCAGGAATTTAAAGTTAACATTGAATACAGAAGAAACAACATTTCTGTATTAAAAAATACCAATACCTATATAAGAAACAAATCAAAAATGAAATCGATATAGGTAACAGTATATAAATAATTAATATACGTAACTTAAAATAAGGAAAAGTAATAGAAAATCACCAATAAAAACATGAAATATAGACAGTGGCGTAACACGGACTAAATTAGAAGTGGGCAAAGTCGCATAAACTTTCTCCTTCAGTAGGTACCTGTTCCCAAACCAATAGATCAAACTTGAACCCTGAACTACTATCGTGAGTTCATAGATGATCCGAATTTTAAAAACCTCTAAACAAGATACAGAAATATATTTTTGTATTTTTGATAAATCATGTGTATTGTAGGGAAACCCGGGGTGGAACGGGGTACCTAAGTTTGATAGTAATTTGTGCGATATTTAATGAAACTACACGTGACTACACCATCATTTGACAAATCTTATGTTTATTTATTTATTTCTTTACAAGTAAAATAGAGCTAAACATATAGAAAATAAACGTTTCTGAGAAAATGTGTATTACAAAAATAAAGGGAAATTTCCCATTCTGCCCCACCCCTCGAGGCACAATGGGGTGCCCCATACTATAGTTAATATCATTGGCAAAGTTCACAGACGAGAACGCTTTCATAATTGTCACTATCTAAACCAGCACATGCTAGATGTGCCCATTTCTTACAAATGCTACAAGAACACCAGCCTTCATTGGACTTAGAGTAGTAATCATGGCAATACAAGCAGGTCGTATCTTCTTCTGCGCTATCTTCGGATTCAGTTTCAGATATTTTTTGTTTATTTGCCTTAGTTTTAATCTGTTTGTTCCTATTTTCTTTCCTTTTCCGTTGAGTTTCAATTTCTCTGGGTTTGTTTTCATCATTTTTAAACATTAATCTGTTTATTTTTTTTTCTCTTCAGTTTTCTTTATAGCTTGAATCTTTTTTAAAGATTCTTCCAGTTCAACCTTATAAGGTGAGGCGGTAAGGACAGCAGTTTTTCCACGCTTTTTACAGTTCTTTTTGTTCCGGCTTTAACTTTTGGCAACGGAATTAGGTCTCTTGGCGACGTAACTGAAAAATGTGTATCGGCATTAGTACGAACAGGGGAATCGGGCATCCAAGAACATCCGGGTTCAGTGACATTCACTGGCGGAGGAAGATATTCGTTAATTGTCGGTACGGATGGATTATTTTTGACAGGATTATCAACTATGGATGTGAGATGAACATGGGGTGAAGAGAAATGCTTCTATACTGGTGTAGTTGGCGTCGAGTCAGTTGTCTCTGTCATAGCCGGCGATGTTTCCTGGATTGTACCGCCAACAAGATTTTTCAAGGGAATATCTGTTGTTGCTGATGGTAGAAAGTCCTCATCGGCGAATTTATTCCAGATACCAGATTTTTCAAAGCCATTAATGGCAGTTCTCATTTATTTATTTATCGTATGACAATTACAACACATTTAGAACAAAATTACAAACACTAGTAATAGGTATATGACAAACTTTAAATAATTACAAAAAAACATCAAGTGTATTAACATAATCAATTGACTCTGAAGTTGCAAAAAGGAAGTCTTCAGGACTACCGTTGTAGGATCTTGAGAGACAATCTTCAATAATGTGGTCGATCGTTTGGTTCTTCCCACAGTCACATTGAGGAGACGGATTCTTTCCCCATTTATGTAGCATGTATGCACATCTGCCATGTCTGGTTCGGATCCTGTTTAGAGTGGACCATGTTTTACGTGGAAGATCAAAACCTGGTGGCTTGTGGGTAATACAGGGCATGTTATTTTGCCATGCATTCCATTCTTGGGACCATGCATACGTGATGTTGAACTCCTCATGTATCATTCATGCCGTTTTCATTGGTGGTTTTCTAGAACGTAGACGGGTATTTCGTACATCCTCGGTATCTTGGTGGATCGGCAGGTTTATATTGTTCATGATCTTTTTGTATTCACGTGTAAGTGCGTCAACTCGTCGTAAATGTGGAGGTGGAATGTTACTTAATACTGAAAGCCATTGGTTGGGAGTTGATTTAATTGTACCAGCTATCATCCTCATAGCGCTGTGCAGCTGAGTGTCGACCTTTTTTACGTGTGGACTGTGTAGCCAAACTGGGGCACAATATTCAGCGGTCGAGAAAACAAGGGCTAAAGCAGTAGAGCGGAGAGTGGAAGCCGATGCTCCCCAGGTGGTACCGCAGAGCTTCTGTATAATGTTATTTCTTGTACTCAACTTTTGGGCAGTTTTTGTTAAATGCTCTTTAAATGATAGCGTTCTGTCTTGTGTTACGCCCAGGTACTTCGGTGTTTTGCTGTGGGAAAGTGTGGTATTTTCAAACCGTATGTTGAGTTCCTTTCCAGCAAGTTTATTGTTCAGGTGAAAGCAACTTACTTCTGTTTTGGATGCATTTGTTTGAAGACGCCACTTGCGAAAATATTTGCTCAATATATATAAGTCTGTCGTCAGAACTTCTTCAGATGTTTCTAGTGTTCTGCATCGTGTAGTAAGGGCCCAGTCATCGGCGTATACGAACTTTCTTGATTGTGTTTCTGGCATATCTGCTAAATATAAGCTAAATAGTAGTGGAGAGAGCACTGACCCCTGTGGTAGGCCATTCTTAAGTTTCTTTGGTGTGCTGATATCTGTGCCCATCACTACTTGAAACTCCATACTGTATCGTAAGCTGCCGAGAGATCAATAAATGCCGCTGAAGTCTTAAGTCTTCTTTGGAAACCCGCTTCGATGTAGGTGGTGAGTGACATGACCTGGTCCGCGCAGCTTCGTTCTGGTCGAAAACCCGCTTGTTCGACTGGGATCACCTGGAACAGTTCTGTACTGATTCTATTATATATTAAGCCTCTCTAATAGTTTGTAGATGGCAGAGAGAAGCGCAATTGGTCTGTAGTTTTTTGGGTTGTCAGCGGGTTTGCCTGGCTTTGGTATGGCTATTATCTTAGAGCGCTTTAGTTCTTGTGGGATATTTCCAGTTTCCATGATGTCTGTGAAAAATCGAGCCAACCAAACTTTTGTATACTTGCCACAATTTAGTAGGAATTCAGGGTGAATATTATCAAATCCTGGTGCTTTTGCTGGCTTAACGTCTTTTAGAGCCTCTGATATGTCTTCGCTGGTGAAGGGGAGGAAATGCTCCGTTTCTGTGGCTACATGTTTTAAAGTTTTAAGTTATTTCTTTACGTATATGGTGTGTGCTTTATCCTTTGGTGCTCTGGATGTTTTTACTATATGTGATGCTATGGCATCTGGCTTTACGGCTGCCTCTCGGCGTTTCGTACGGACACCACTCCCTAATTTTCTTAGTAATGACCATGCCTGTCTGCTTGATTTCTGGAAGTTTAGACTTTTTGAAGGCAGTTCTCATATTTGTTGCACTTAAGAAAGCCTGGCCAAAAAGTGTTGATATGTCGAAAAGCTGAACCACTCTCTCTGGATGCGACCTGAGCTACTTGGACGCATTCACATTCGCATCATTGGACGGAAAATATTTGGATGAAACTTTGATTAACGAAGGTCATACAGTCGGAAAAGACTGTCAAAATCAACGCGAAGCATTTATAGAAGGCTGGTTTACAGGATTAAAAGCTCTATCTGAAAAGGGACGACGTTTAAACATTACGCAGGTAGGAATTGATACAAATTAGAACCTCATCAGGTCACGTCATTGGACTTTTTACAGCCGGGTAGCATCAATAAGCTTCCTTCAAATTTATTTGTTTTTTTATAGCTTTTTGCTTGTGGCATTCTATATTTTTAGGGAGAATGTTGGAAATAAGCCACAATATATTTATTAACATATTTAATTTACTGACGTTTCGATCTCTATTCCAGAGGCCGTTTTTAAAGTTACAAAAAAAAGAAAATAAATAATATCTGATTATATAAATAAGATTATATTAATATTATAATAATAATAAACAAATAAAATAAATATGACTATTATTTATATCTTTGAAAACGGTCTTTGGATATAGAGATCGAAACGTCAGTAAAGACCTGTAAATAAATAGGTATATTGCGGCATATTGAGATTTCTTCCGCGTTGGGGTTCCAGCTGCAATGTGTGCCATTGCCTTTCATAATCGGTTGTTTCCATTCTCTCTTCATTGTTGCAATCGATGAAATGCTGCATCTCAGAACTTTGCGATGATAATGTTAATATATTATTGGTTGTTATTCTATCTGGACCTAACTTGTTTGGAATTTATTGAACGAAACATGACGCTAATTGTATATTTTGTTGGGATAACAATATAGTTAAGGACTGCATTGGTTGAAGCATGCTGGACGCATATTGAATATTTCCGGGCCGTTGTTGTGGCCCGGTGTTCTACATTTC